TGGAAAAGTGCATCGCAATGCGGGAATAAGAACTGAGTAATAATAATGCTTGCATCTCATCCTCCAACTCCATTTTGATTGATGCAAGCTGGTTCACAAGGCTGTGGAATTCACTGGTGTGTTCAGCAACAGACACACCATTCTTCAGCTTCAGGTTTATAAGCCTTCTCATTATCAAGGCTTTGTTCCGTGCGGTCTTGGACTGGTACATGCCCTCCAATTTCATCCATAGGGCATAGGCGTCTGTCTCTTGGGCAACATGGTGGAACACACTGTGGTCAATCCACTGTCTGATTTGACCGACAGTCTTCCGGTTGGTTTTTATCCAGTCCCCATCCTTGTCTCCATCTGATTTGACCCCCTTTAGCGCTATAGGGTCAAACAAATCTCTACAATACAGGACGTCCTCCATCCGCGGCTTCCATATCGCATAATTAGAAGCGTTCAACCGAATCATCGGCCCTGAAGCTGATGTGGATTCCTCCATCATCCAGAAAGTAATCTCTGTTTGAAAAAACAGGCTTTGCTGTGAAGTCCAGACTGCACAAATTAGCCGGAAAAGTACTTCGGATTGCCAAAATAAAAACTGCAAATTTTTGAAACCTTATTTGCAAAATCTGACCGTACGGATGTGTCCGGAATACTCCAAATAGTCCGGAACCACTACTGGATCACCAAAAACGGACTCCAAATGGCTTCAATCAAGCCAAAACAATTTTAACGGTTCAGATCGGCAGAATCTGGTGCGCCTGCGAAGCACCAGATTACTCCTCCGGTTATGCTGACGTCAGGCTGACGTCATCGGCTCAGTCAGCGGCTCCGGCTCGGTCAACGCGGCTCCTCCTCGAGCGGCTTGGTGCGCGCGCGTGCGGAGCGTGTCGCGCGTCAACTCACGCGTCGTCTACCTTCGTCCGCGCGTGGGGCGCGTGGGTTAGATTGGAACCACGCGCCGGTGGCCTGAACGGCGCCTGTGGGCGCGTGTCGAGACTGGGACTCACGCGCCAACTTCCAGGGGCGCGTGAGGGCGCGTCCGGCCTCCGTTGGGTGTCTGCTTTATGTTTCTGGACTCCTCTCGTCGAGCCTTTGCTCCTGGTATGCTCAAAATCTGATTTCGAGCAATACGATTTCTGGGCAGTTTTGAACAACACGCTGTTTTTGTTCCGAAACGCCACCAACGAGGCTCTGATACCACTTATTAGGATCAAAGACACCCAGAGAATTATCTCACACACACAGAGAACACAATATTTACGTGGTTCGGTCCAATGCCTACATCCACGGACAGAAATGAGAATTATCACTAAAATGGAGCAAAAATACAAATACAGAGGAGGAGATGAAACTCACTCAACTCACAGCTCTCACTCTCAATTTCTGATCATTCAAACCTCTCCTCACTCATCTCAATTTATAACCAAGAGAGGAGGAGTAGGTGAAGTGCTAGCCATAATTGGCCAAGGTGGTGCTACCCTCACTATCTTCCGTAGTGGGTTGGTGTAGCCCTCCACCATCTTCTTTTACAACATGGTGCTACCCACACTATGTGAATGGTGGTTCCATTACCATGTGGGTAGTGGATGGAGCCAACACATTACAAAAAAAATCAATTTTTTACGGATAAATTTATTCTGTCTCTAAAAGTGTAATATTTGTTGAAAAAAATTTTAGCCAACTAATTTTGTTTGTCGCAAGGTTTGTCCCCAATGGTCTGTCCGAAAAAGTCAAAAATTGACTTTTAGAGACAATTTGCATTTACACTATAAATAGACTTTCAAAAACAAAAATATGTGGCTACAAAAAATTTTGATTTTGAGACAACCAAAATTTGTCTTTAAATATCTATTACAAACTACGGCAAAAAAAAAAAAAAAAAGTTTTTGAGACAATAAAAATTCGTCTCTAAAATTTTTAGTTTTTGAGACAATTAAAAGTGGTCTATAAAAGTTTTAATTTTCGAGACGGCTAATAGAGGTCTCTAAAAGTTATAATTTTTTTTTAAACAACTAAAATTGGTCTCTAAAAATTTGATAATAATTTTTTTTTTTTTTTTTTTTTTTTTTTTTTTTGTAACATTCCTCATATATAACTTTTGCATCAATAATAAAATTATTTCTTTGGGAAAACAAAAATTGTCGGCAAAACAAAAAGCAATATTGATTGCAACGTACAACATAAGATTCAAATAATATTTTATATATTTTTCCTCCTAATATATCATCACAAACATCCAAAAAAAGCAACTTGACTTTGACATTTCTAGCAAAAAATCAAATAATAAAAAACATAACAATAATCTAGCAGCCAAAATAACAAAAACACCAATTGCAACCCAGGTACCCTGCAAACCCTTGCATAGAAGTTGCATCTTTGGAGTGGCCACATTCCACGATGACAGGCCAGAAATGTGGCTGATAGCTCGTATGAGAGTTTGAGCATGTTTAAAGAGTTCACTTTAGGGCCTAATAGCTCATATGAAAGTTTGACCATAACTTATTTGATTAATATGGAATTCCTAAAGCATTTTCACAAACAAAATAAGGTAAATCATAATCCATGCTCTGATTCATTAGTATGTAATATATGGATTGTATATCATAAACTGATCGATTTCAAAAGTATCATTTCCAATTTATAAGGCTAGTGCTATAAGCATTATTTGTAGCATTCAACTATTCAATGAACAAATTGTAAATTGCCGTTGTATCTACCTACAGAACAAAACAACTCATTGCATATTCTTCTCAAGGGCTTCATTGAAATGACATTCAAAATCTCGCAGAGAGCTCCCAAGCCTTCAAATTGGCGCAAGCTTGCAGGACCCGCATAGAACTGAGAGCTTTGACATATGAACCATACCTTCTGTTTACAAATCTCCACTTTTCCATGTCCAAGACATCCATGCCAACATAAAGAAAGATAAATATCTCACAAACAAATGATAAAGTCGCAAAAGCATGCCTGAAAACATGTTTAAAGGCAACTACAGTATTAGTACCATTAAATATTGGCCGCATTTTGCCAATACAGAAAAGGAAAAAATAATTTGTTTCAGTGTCTACCAATAACTTATTTGGACATGAAACATACTTGGTAGTGATTCTTGAACTCTCAGTGACATTATGCCAGGTGTAATGGGACATCACAATCCCGCAAAAGAAAATTATGAGAATGTCACTTAAATAGAGTAACTACAAAACAAATTAGGCTATTAAAATTCCAGGGCTAAGATGCTAAAATTGCATGACTCCAAAATTTGTATGAGTGTTCAGGATAAGACAAAGTCAAAAAAGAAGAAATAAATAGCAAATGAGGTGCCTATAAGTTATGGGAAATCATACTTCAGCCAGCATATATGAAAGGTAAGCCATGAGCATCAACCTCACGATCAGTAGAGTGCTTGCAGTTTGTAATAAAAAGTATAAATAGTTTTCCTCAATGAATAATTGAAAATTCTTGTACTTGATCCTCTCATACCACTTCTCTTTCCATAAGCTACTTACGGATAAAAAAAGAAAGAATCAAACAGATTCTCTTTCCATAAGCTACTTATGGATCAATAAGAATCTCTCTCTCTTTCTCTCTCCACACACCCACAAATGTAGTAGCCATCAGGACCACAATCATATGCTACTAAAGGTGTAACAATAAATCAGGTACAGAAGCAGAGACAAAGGGAGCTTTTAATCACCTGCAACTGCACCATTCCTGTGGCCCCCATTGACTGAGATCTGTTTTAAACTACAAACTACCCCCTCTTCCCCAAAAAAAGGCACTGCATTTTGTGGTCAATTAAGTGATGATAACATAAAGCAAATTTAGCAGTATGAAAACTATTTACAAACCTCCCAAAATAAAGCTTTTTGATGATGAATGCACTAAGCAATCCAGTCTGCACAAGTAGAAACAAAAATGTCAGAGACATAAGACCAAAAGTAAACACATGCATGCATACACACACGAGAGAGAGAGAGAGAGAGAGAGAGAGAGAGAGAGAGAGAGAGAGGAGCAGGTACTCACTACGACTTCCAGCATGGTGCTCGTGGCAAATAAATATAAGAAACTGCTGACTAACTACAAAATTGTGCTTGGGTTGATATGAGATAGGTCAAAGCTCTGGATGGTGCACATATGAATAAAATTTGCAATATATATCCTAAATGTTCTTTTATGAAAAACAGGGAATACAAACAAAATAACTCAATAAGACAGTTACAAGTTTCCAATTTAAAAAGACAAAGAAGTTAATGAATATCAAAAGAAACAAGGGAATAGGAACAAACTTGATGGACATTGCCTGGTTCAGCGAAAATGATGTGTCATATACATCATTTGATGGATCAGGGAAGGAACCAGCTGCCTCTCCTTTTGAATTTGAATAGTGCAAGACAGCCACACCAGTAACACTTTGCCAAAGAGACTGATTCACAAATCTAGCACTGGCTACAATATAGTAATCACTACTTGCATTCTGATCCATGGTAACCAAAAAAGAGTAGGACTGCCCAACATAGATATCTAAACCAGTGTAATTTTGTTGCGATGTGTAATAACCCTCTGTTTCTGCTAGGAGCAAATTATGGTCCTGGATTCTAAAGTTCAAACAAGTTGTGACCCCAACGTTGTGCACACAAATTCGATAAGTCTTTCCTGCAGTAAATCACAGTGTAGCAGGTTCACAACAAAGGAGTACAGCAGGAAAACTGAAAATACAAAATGACTAAACACGAACCAGTTCAATTTTAATTTATGACATTAAAACAATCCACAGTTGTTTCACTATAACTCATCTACATTGAGGTATGACCATGCCTGTGCATGTTCTAAATACTCCAATGACCCTAGTCATCAAAGCAAGAGCTCATTCCTAATAAACCAGACATAAAAAGCTTCCTGTTTAGAAATGTATAGCAGTAATTACAATAATGCAGTCAGAATTAGAAATTGGTTCCACAAACAATTATGACCAACCAAAATGGGTACTGATTACTTTCAATTTCTAAATTTTTAGCAACTGTAAGGTGGTATAATGTCAGAGGGAACCCTAAAGGGTATTTTAAAACAACCAGAAATGAAATGGAATTAATTTTGAATTGCACAACAGCTGAACATTAAAGGGTTTTTTTTTTTTTTTTAAAAAAAAAAAAAAATGAATAACCAACAAATCAAAAAAAAATATGACGATAAAGTCACTATTTGAAGTTTTCAAATGACCTTAATTTATAGATGCAACTGCTAATCATTCACGTGCACATATGAATAAAATTTGCAATATATATCCTAAATGTTCTTTTATGAAAAACAGGGAATACAAACAAAATAACTCAATAAGACAGTTACAAGTTTCCAATTTAAAAAGACAAAGAAGTTAATGAATATCAAAAGAAACAAGGGAACAGGAACAAACTTGATGGCCATTGCCTGGTTCAGCGAAAATGATGTTTCATATACATCATTCGATGGATCAGGGAGGGAACCAGCTTCCTTTCCTTTTGAATTTGAATAGTGCAAGACAGCCACGCCAGTAACACTTTGCCAAAGAGACAAATTCACAAATCTAGCACTGGCTACAATACAGTAATCACTACTTGCATTCTGATCCATGGTAACCAAAAAAGAGTAGGACTGCCAAACATAGATATCTAAACTAGTGTAATTTTGTTGCGATGTGTAATAACCCTCTGTTTCTGCTAGGAGCAAATTATGGTCCTGGATTCTAAAGTTCAAACAAGTTGTGACCCCAACGTTGTGCACACAAATTCGATAAGTCTTTCCTGCAGTAAATCACAGTGTAGCAGGTTCACAACAAAGGAGTACAGCAGGAAAACTGAAAATACAAAATGACTAAACACGAACCAGTTCAATTTTAATTTATGACATTAAAACAATCCACAGTTGTTTCACTATAACTCATCTACATTGAGGTATGACCATGCCTGTGCATGTTCTAAATACTCCAATGACCCTAGTCATCAAAGCAAGAGCTCATTCCTAATAAACCAGACATAAAAAGCTTCCTGTTTAGAAATGTATAGCAGTAATTACAATAATGCAGTTAGAATTAGAAATTGGTTCCACAAACAATTATGACCAACCAAAATGGGTACTGATTACTTTCAATTTCTAAATTTTTAGCAACTGTAAGGTGGTATAATGTCAGAGGGAACCCTAAAGGGTATTTTAAAACAACCAGAAATGAAATGGAATTAATTCTGAATTGCACAACAGCTAAACAGTGAAGGTTTGAATAATCGACAAATCAAAAAATATATGACGATAAAGTCACTATTTGAAGTTTTTAAATGACCTTAATTTATAGATGCAACTGCTATAAGAAAGTAATAATCATTCACCTGGGTCAACATTGATTGTTTCATAATCAATGCCATCTGGGACCAGCATTGTATTATATCTATAAGGTCCCTTCCCATTAATGAGAACTCCGTCTGGCATTCCAAGGTCTTTTTATAAATTTGAGTAAAAGTTGATCTAAAAACATAACCATGTCACTTAGAACTAAAATAATTTGTTCTCTAAAATAATTAGAAAAAAAAAATCCACAGAACCATGTCAAATTTGCCTTCATTTTCTTTGAATACTACAATAATAGATCCTAATGTTCAGAACACCAAATTCAAGTATAAATTGAAACCAAACAATACAAGTTCCGAGCAAACAAATTGAAGAAACACAATCTCTTGAATCAATGTCATGCCGAAACAAGAAAAAAATAATAAAAAAAATCAAGTTCAAAGATTTGTATATCAAAATGAAAACAAAAGGAAGGAATCTGAAATTTACAATAGATCTATGTGAATCACAACAAACAACAGATCTTCACAACTGTAAATTTGCAAGAAATAAACTAAAGATGAATGAATTGAAGACATAAAAACGTCATCAATTTCGTACACATTTTATCTCAAATGAATAATCGATTAATCGATCAAACCTAGATACTGAAATCGCTGTCGAGGAGTCTCTAAGATCAATGATTGAAATCAACAAACCACCGAGAACAATGAAATTAGCGATTCGATCGGGAGAGAGAGAGAGAGAGTGATTGAAATCAACAAACCACCGACAACAGATCTTCACAACTGTAAATTTGCAAGAAATAAACTAAAGATGAATGAATTGAAGACATAAAAACATCATCAATTTCGTACACATTTTATCTCAAATGAATAATCGATTAATCGATCAAACCTAGATACTGAAATCGCTGTCGAGGAGTCTCTAAGATCAAGGATTGAAATCAACAAACCACCGAGAACAATGAGATTAGGGATTCGATCGGGAAAGAGAAAGAGAGGGAGAGAGAGAGAGAGAGTGATTGAAATCAACAAACCAACGAGAACAATGAAATTAGGGCTTCAATGGACAGAGAGAGAGAGAGAGAGAGAGAGAGAGAGAGAGGTGTGGAGAAGGAAATGAAATCCTGACTATTGAAGTGGAAAGAATGAAAATAAAAGAAAATAATGTATGAGTTGTGTTTATAGGGGGACGAATCAAAATTGTTGGCAAAAAGTCATTAACCTTTTCCAACTAAGGCGAAGTTTGGAAAGATAAAATAAGTATATTTTTTTATTTTTTTTGTATTATGTGTAGAAAAAGTAGATAATTGATTGATGTGATATAAAAAAGATAAAAAGATAAAATAAGTGTACTTTTTTAGGTTAGTCAAACTTGACTTAAATAGTTTTGTCTTAAAAATACAATAACATGATTAAATTTTATTTTTTTTGAAAATTCTTTCATTTTGTTTCTAATAGTATAATTTTTATAGACAAATTATTTTTGCTTCTAAAAATTTATCTTTAAAATCTTAATTTCTTGTATTGACACAAAAAAAAAAATTTATTTTTTGGTATTTAATTAATATTTGAACCAAAATTTTTTATTGTTTAAAAGAGAAATTTTGATTCAATAAAATATCATTTATGATTTTTTAGTGAATTAAGATATTTATTTAAAAAAGGCTAAATATATAAAAAAGATAATGCATGAGAGTCAACTTTATAAAATTGATTTACGAAAATTTTAAAAATAAATCATTTTTAAGAAAATTATGTAAAAATATTTTCTTTAAAAAATCTTTTACTTACTTTTTTTTAACCAAACAATAGAAAATAAATATTTTACGTTAAAACAAATTGAGCCTTAATGTAAGAATTTTTTTTTTTATAATAAGGTATTTAGGCTAGCTAACATGTGCGACAATTAATTTTGGAGTCTTCAAATTAATAATCGAACAAATTTCCAATGGCAAATTTCAACTCAAGATGATTGTTTTTATTTTCAAATGTTTACTGGCAAATCCCTTAATTTTTTTTTTGGAATAACTAAATATCTGGATTAGTACAAAATAATTGTAATGATACGAAAGTACAAACAATTTATGTATTAGATTATACAACTAAATCTACTACTTCAATTTCTTTGCAATTATTTTGAATTTATATAATTTTTTTTTTTAACAATTGTCTATTAATTTATACACACCTTGAGTATTGATTGTACAACTAAATCTCATACTTATATATGTTTGCAATTATTTTGAATTTATATCATTTTTTTACGATTGTCTATTAATTTATACACACCTTGACAAGGACGGAAACAAAAATTTCATTACCAAAGAGACTAAAAGAAAAATAATTTTTTTTCACTATATACACAAAACACACATATATGTATGATATGATATATAAATTATATATATATATATAAATTTAAATACCATAAAAATAATTTCTAATAGGATGAAGAAATTTTTTTAATGTAAAATAAAAATAGAATTCAAGATGAAAAAAATGACATATATATTTTTTTATATTGGGGGTCATTTGTGGCCCCCATAATCTTCTCACAATTCTGCCCCTGCACCTTAAGTATTGATTGTACAATTAAATTTTATATTTCCATCTCTTTATAATTATTTTGAATTTATATTAATTTTTTTTTTATAATTGTCTGTTAATAGTATTGAGTGCGGGTACTATTACATTTAATGGTCTAAGCTTGGTTCCGTCTGCGTAGCAACCATCTACGTGCCCATAAAGACGAGTTTTTAGGCTGCCCAAGGTGTATAGAATTGTTTATGTAAGTGGTAAATATAAGAGGAAATTACATGGAAATGAGAATTGGAGAAAAAATTTATAGATATATGAAAGTATAATTGTAACTGTAGTGAGATGTAAATGAAAGGTTATGAGGGTATAAATGTCACTTATACCCCTTTATGTGTTGGTAATTTTTTTTTTCTGGCTTTCAGCTGCATCTAATTCCTCATAAATATTATTCGATAAATTTCACATGTTATTATTGACACCATATTTTATTTTTTGTCGACTGTGACTTGTTAATAGGTCAAATCTAACCTAATTGGTTGTGGTCTATTGTTTATGGTATGTCGATTCAAATAATAAATCATTTTTTTAATTTATATGATCACATTTATATTTATTATTATTATTATTTGTTTTTTACAGGTCATACGGCAGCAATATGTTTCCTGCAAGTTAGTTGCCCACATTAAAAGCATCAAAGGGTGGCACCACATCCAGCAAAAGTTAAGGCAATCACCATTTTCTTTTACGTGGCAATCGTGGCAATGTACATGAAGCGAATAAAAATTGCTCTAAGAGTTTATTGAAATTGTTGGTGGAGTCTATAAATAGGCAAAGAGAGGATGAGTAAAAAGACTTTCAACTCAATTTATAACACTTATGAAATCTAAGAGTAGTATAACTTATCTAGCAGTAGTGCAATACATGTAACTAGTTAGTTCCAATCCTTATAACTTGTTTAAGACTTGTCGATTGTAATGCTTAAGACTTGTACATTGATTCTTTTAATTAAGTAACAAGTTTGAGTATTATTAATTAAGTTTTAGTTATTGTTTTACTTTGTTTTTCATATTACAATCTCCAATTTTTTTTTTTTTTGAATCTGTTAAGGCATAGAATGTAGAGACCCTAATTTTTGGTAATTACACTTGAAACTCTAAGCCTTAGGTTAATTGCATTTTAGTCCCAAATTTCATAAAATTTTACAAAATGGTCCAATAAAGAATAATTTTTTATGTATTTTATTTTGTATTATAATTAAATCCTGAAACACCACTTTATAATTGGAAATACCCTAAAACTTGATTTTTATTTATTACCTCCTATTTTCGAAATTAATTCATACATTTTATTTATTTATTTATTTTTTAGCCTATTTGAATATTAGTTATTTGAATCTTTAATTATTTATTGGAGCAAATAAATATCTTTAAATAAATATTTTTATTACTTATTTTATTCTTTATTTAAGCAAATTAGTGAAACACAAAATATCTAGATATTTATTAATTTTCCTTAGTCATTACGCAAGAGGGTAGAATGACCTTTTTAACCCAATTCGTGGCTTATAAATTGAGAGTCTTACCTCAATACCACACCCATATTTCAGTAGCCAAGGAGAGGGTGAGAGAAGGAGAGTGTGATTAGAGGGAAGTAGAGAAGAAAAAAAAAAAAACGAAAAGGAAGAAAATGGTGCCTTCTAGGGTCAAGGTAAGAACACTTCTTTCTCTTGTCTTCTCCAATTCTTTCACCATCCCATCCTATTGTTTAGATGCCCTTTTGTGTTTGGTGTGTATGAAAGGGTGGGTATGAACTAGTGACATTGTCTTGCAAATTTGTCAAATTAGACACTACTGTAACTTCTCTAATTTAAAAAAAATATCAAATTTATTTATTTCTCAAATCTGAATTTAGTGTAGGCTATTTGGTGTGTTTAGAGCTTGTGACAATTTTATTAGCCCCTAATTGTGTGTTTTTAGGGCTTAGATATTTTGTTTAAAAATCTGGTCCTGAGTCTCTGAAAAACAGCCCACTTCTTTCAATTTTATAAAATTCCAAAAAAATCATCTCATGTTGGTTATTTTGTCAAAATTTAGAATTTTGAGTCCTCTTTCCAACAGAATTTATTTGGGTGAAAATCATCGGGTAGATTGAGAGGAAAGCTAGTTTTCCCAAAGAGTGGCAAATCTGGACAGGTTTTCGAATATATCTTGTAAATCAATTTCTGGAGGTGCTATGCAAATTTTGAGAATTGGAACTGAAACTAGACAGGTTGATTATTGTTTTTGTGCAATTTCAACCCCTAATTTGACCTAGAAGTATTTTTACCAAAGTATTCTTGTTAGCCCTGCATAACTAAATAGTGCTGAAAATGGTGCTTTTTTTGTGTTATTTGTCTCCAAGTATTTCAAAGCATGCCTAATGTTGTTTGCTTGCCTTACCATACTTTTGTATGATTATCATGGGCTATATTTCCTCTCTTATGTTTGTCTTATGCTCTTTTATATTACCGAATTACCGAATGTGACTAACTTGCTTGGCAAAAGATCTAATAAACGGGAAATGATAAGGGGTTGGCAATGAGTGACGTTCACATTAGTATTGTGGAATAATTTATACATATGAGTGACATGAATTATGATGGGATTAAAACTAAATGTGTTAAATCTTGCGCAAGCGGTCTAAGCGAGCCCTTAGGTTGACATGGATGTATTCAGACTCTATGTGGTGGTTTTAGGGTGTAAGCGAGCCCTTTGGTATGTTATGTGCAGGGTGTAAACGATCCCTAGGCATGATTTGGGTGTAAGCGAGCCCACTTGTTTGGCCGTCCCTTTTAAGGTCCATCAATGTCACTGGTCGGTAAATAACTGTGAGGTGGGCATGGGTGGTAAGATTTGCAAAGTAGCAAAATGGAGAGTTCTAAATAGTTCGGCGCTCAATCCTTGTGGTTGGGTAGAAGGATCTCTTTGGGGGATTCTAAATGTTTAGTCTAACTACTAATTCATATAACTATTGTATGTTATGTTACTCAATTTGTTCTGTGTATGGTTGATT